GATTTATCAGCACGCAAGTAGCAGTGGTAAACAAGATGGAAACTGTATGGGAAGAACGTACCAGCCACTCGCGGTGTCCCTGGACGCCGTCGCTGTCGAGTACTTGACGGCGACGTGCTGCGGTTGGAGCCCCGGGCGGAGGCGTCCGTCGACGAAGCCCTTGTAGACGGGGCCGAACCCGCCCTCGCCGAGGAAGTTGGTGGTGGAGAAGTTCTTGGTGGCGGCCTTGAGCTCGTCCAGCGTGAAGGCGTGCAGCTTGGTGGTCTCCAGCTTCCGCGACAGGTCCTGCAGCGACAGCGACCGCAGGTTCGCCGTGCTCAGCCGCCGCAGCGTCGGCTTCCCGCCGGGGCGCCTGCCCGCCGCCGCCGCGGTCTCATGCCCCTGCTCCTGCTCGCCGCCGCCGGCCCCGAAGCACCCCAGCAGGCGCTTCCTCAGCCCCATGACGATGAGCAAATCGAAACCGCCCGCGTCGATCTCGTCTCGTACGTCCTCGTCGCTTCGCCGCACGGACCAAGGAGCACGACGCTCGCCGGCGAAGAGAGCCTTGGAGCTAGAGAAGGTGTCGGTCGCTGGCGAAGTGGCGAGGTAGAGGACACGGAGGCACGGCGCGGTGGCAGGGCATATAAAGGCGAGTAGGCAGCGGCTTTGTTCGTGTGGGCGCGGGCGTGGACGTGGCTTCGAGGTGGGTGAAGGTTGGGGAAGCGTCGCCTTTTTGACTTTTTTTTTGGGGTAGTAGCCCGGGACCGGGAAGTTAATTATCGCTACTCTAATTCGGCAGGTGATGGAATTAGCTGGAATGAGTGCTTGAATCATTGGTGATGCCGGCCGGGGCCGGGGTCGGTTAGTTAGCGGGTGAAAGCTATCATATGGCTTTTTTCCCCATAAATACTATATAGCACACATATGTTTTAGAAAAAAAAACACATGGATTTTTTTATCTCTCTCCCTCTCTCTTTCTCACCGGTGACCACCGGTGCCGGCGACCGGCGAGCTTGCCCCGGCGCACTCGTGCCGGCCATGGCAGTGGCGACGGCGGCGGATCTGTGATTTGTCATTCTATAGAAAAAAAATTGTGATATGTGATCTGTGGAGGCTGGAGGTAGAAGAAGGATGAAAGCTATTGGATCTTAATCCTATGGTGAAAAAAAAATCATATGTTGAAACCATGTAAAACACGTGGTTGTGTTTTTTTTTTTTTTGAAAACGATTATCATATGGCGTTGGTGATCGCTGATGTGCGCATCGACGTGTATCGATCGACGCAGCCTGCCTAGCCGTGGCCGACGGGGACGCGCCAACAACTGGTGGACGAAACCGGCCCCGTTCTTATCGGTAGGGCGGCAGTTAGACTGTTTATGTTAGAGTGATGTGTGCTGCTAGTATTTGTTTAATTTTCTCGGTTTTATATGGATGGTAGGGCGGGTTAGGGATCGATCGATGGTGGACGGGATCGGGATCGGGATCGGGATCGTACGTGCTAGCTAGGCGATCTTTTTGTATGGTTGCGTTCCAACTCCCAGCAGGCCAACACGACCGACCGCCGGTTTCTGTACTCGTACTTGCAGGCCTGGCGCAGCCCATTCTTTTAAAACTCGATCTTTGTCGTTATTGTTAGCGGGTGGTTTCGTTGGTTGGTTTGGTTGTGTCTTCTTATCATTTTTTTTTATTTTGTATTGTTCGATTCCCTGGTTAGTTGCATGATTGATCCAGAAGGAAAAGGTAGTAAGCTGTACCTGTTTTAATATAGAGGCAACTCACGTGCTTAAAAAATACAGTCGAGAGCTAGTGAACCAAACCGGTTTGCCCGCCCTTGTTATCTTTTCTCCAAACACGCGAGAATTTTCACACATTTATGTATCGCGAACATCAAAGACGCACAAAGGACCAAAGGTTCGTCCACTTCTTAGAGCTGAGGACGCGCACATCACATTGGTGTGTTAAGATAAGCACTTCATCAAAACTAAAGGTCTGGCCATTTCGTTCCCACCCGCCATCCAGAGCAAGTTCTGCTTCAACTCAAACACATATTCACCCTTTCATGAAGCACAGTAACTTACTTACCACTAAAAAAATAGTTTGGCCTAACTGAGCTAAGCTCAATTTACATATGCATTTATCTTTATTAAGCGGCATTTTTTTAATAACAGGTTGTGTAAAAAAAGGGGGTATGCAAATACTTCACTTTTGACTTATTTGACTGAATGTTTTCCCCCTTACTAGCTATGCCCATACGATCCCTAGACACTTACACAGTATCTCATTAGAGCATCTCCAAGACACTGTCCATATTCTTCCTAAATACTAGGAATAGAGATTTTGGTGAAAAACTACTCTCCAACAGCTTCTCTAAATGGTCATCCAAATATAGTCATCTTCTATTTCGTATTTTTCGTTAGCGAAAAATAAAAGACAAGAATGACTCTCTAAAGTGCGCATGAGATATAGAAAAACTGTTGGAGAGTGAAAATATATAGAAAACGATTTTTATGCAAATGACCCTCTAAATAATTGATTTAGAGAGTAAGATTTATAAATGCTTTTGAAGATGCTCTAACATTCTCTAAAAGGAATATATCATTCAACACAAAGCCAATGTATGAACTCATCCACGTCCTATTACACGGATCAACTGCAGAAAACTTACAATCGCGTGGAAGGTTCAAAAGATACATACGCGTCACCATGGCCAAGTATTTATATTAGCTAAACACGCCGTCTGACCGAATTGGAGTTGGTTTCACATGTCCTTCTGGAACAGGTTTATCTTTCACACGCCCAAAGGTTAGAAAATTTAGTTGGTCGTCATTGTTATTTCCATAATCCCGCGGATGGGTACAAGTAGTAGTTGCAGTTGTTGAAGTCTTTCAACGAGCCCGTTCCTCTGTCTCGTTCATCTCTAAAAAAAAGAACAAACAAGTTGCCTCTCTCTCCAAAAGAAGTAGAAAAGAAAGAAAGAAAAGTGGGGGAGAAGCCTGGTAGTGTAACCTGTTGGATGTTGGAATAAATTGACTCCACTACTTAGTGCTTATGCATGGTAATCATAAGTTAAATGCAGCCAGCAGTAAAGTGGTAAAACAGTATGATAAAAAGAGAGAAGGTCGCTGTTTCAGCTTCTGATACAAGAAAGGAAATGTGGAATGTCATGTTGCAAAGTTGTCTGAGTGGAAAATAAAGGGGATTGCTTATATATCGCGCATCCATTCAGCGCCGCGTTGTAAATTGTTCCCAATGACAAAAGTGGGCAAAAAAAAAAATCTCCCACCACATTATTGGAGTAGTGCTATGATTGAGATCACATATATTTGTCTTTCCCAAAGTATGGTTCGCTTTAGATCTTGTTTGGCTATTCAATCTGTATGTACCACTCCGATACACGTGGATTGACTTGAGGTAAATACGAGTACAACCAACAAGTCTTTAGTTTTATGGGTTCATCCTAAGTCATGTTTAACTTTTGTCAAATTTTCTTCAAAATATACATATTAGCATCTATAAATTCAAATAAATACATTATGAATATATATATATATATATATTGCATAGAAAATTTAATAAAACTAATTAGATGTTGATGTATTTTGTATAACCCTAGTTGAAGTTAGAAATGCCTGATTTATTAGAGAAGAAAACTAAAATAGACTATAATTTAGAACGAAATGATGAGTAGCTATTTTATCCTATCTTCCCAAGAATTCTGGCTGCAGATTTGAATGTTCTTGGAACCTTTGAAAAGTCAATTTAGATGCTCGACACTTGTGCTTCTGGTGCTTTGTTACTTTCACCTTCCTCTTGTACTCGACTATTCCCCAATCATTCCTCGACAAATGTGTGCTCGTCTTTGTCATAGTGGAAACTCTTTCTCACGTGATTGTAGCACTTTCTTGAGCGATGATTTGGGAGGGTTCCTATCACCCTACACTTCTTTGTATTAAGATATGAGCGAAAGAAGTGCATTTTACAATGGGCTGTCTTTTCTTTTGGGCTCTGAGAAACAGTCACCATGTTCGCTTGTTGGTTTTAGTCAGGCTTATTCAACCAGCCAACAGTGTTTTCCTCTCACAATAAACCAGCACCAGCCAGCCCAAATCAGTCCAGAAACCAACCAGCGAACACGCCGATTGGCTTAAACAAAACATTGCACATTAAGTGCTACCGCTAAAGGGACTACAAACTAAATAGATATTTAATTATATGACCCATCTACAGTGGGGAACTAAGCCAAAAGTGTTACTCTCTCCATCCCATAATATCTGTCGTTTAGAAACAACTTTGACAAAATATATATTAAAAAATATTAATATTTATGGTACATAATTGGTATCATTGGAAAGATCTTTAAATCTAGTTTTTTAATAAATTTATTTGAAGATACAAATATTGCACGTATTTTCTACTGATTGAGTCAAACTTGTGGCACGGAAACCAAAAGCGACAGAATTTGAGACAGAGGGAGTACATCGAGGAATAAAATTCATTTTTCTATTTCTTCTTAAAAACATTGCCAAATGCTTATGTGAATTTATTAATATAGATGACACTTTTTTTTCGAACAATATAGATGACATTTTGATGAAACTCCGACTAAAGAGTGGCCTAGCTATTTTGTCATCTCTTTCCAATATTTAATTTCCGGGTGCAGACACATAATCGATCTGTTTCAGTAGCGAGGAAGGCCTACCAGGAATCCGCGGGCCTGTTTGGGAGGGTGTTCCTGGCCAGCCCGGGCGGCTAGCTTGGCTGCGGCCAGCCGAAGTCTGATCCCCATAGTGCAACTTCACGTGTTTGGTGTTGTGTTGCAGTAGAGCCGAGCCCACTCTAGATCGTGTTTGGTTTCCTGGACAGAGAGATATGACAACCTTGGTCCTGCAATTTGGTAACGTTACCCCCCATAACTTCCGTTCCTCTTGTCATTGGCATTTTGTCGAGCACATGGCGGGCAGGAACAAGAACACCACTCGGCGGCGAGGATGAGGCTGATTCCAGCTGGCTGGTGGCCGGTGATGGCCACGGTGGTGCCGCGCGTCCGTGGAGGGGCGCAGCTCCGCCCGCGACGCATTAGGGCGGCGAGGCCACGGCAGCAGCCTGTGCGGCCATGGAGAACCCGCGACCTAGGCGGCCGGATGCGGTGGCGTTTGATGGTGCTGCTGCTCAAGGTGCACCGCGCCGCGGGGAAGCTCATGGGCGCCGCCTCCGCTGCGCTGTCCGTCGCCGCCGCCGCGCGGAGGTGGGTGGCGGCGGGGCGAACCGACACCGACGCAGGCGCCGCGTCGCACGAGGAGAGCCCCGCTGTGTGCACTAGGTTCTACGGCTTCCTCTGCACCTCCCTCGTGCTCTCCATGCTCCTCCTCGCCGCCGACGTCGCCGCGCACCTCCAGGGCTGGCACCTCGCCGTCGACGTCCCTGACTTGCTCGCTGTCAAGGGCCTCTTCTCCGCCGGGTACGCGCCCTGGGTGCGCATACGCCTCGAGTACCTCGTAGCGGCTGGATGTGCGCGCCGGCCACACATGGCGACCACGCCCAGAGGCCGAAGGACGCAAGGAGCGACGGTGTGGCCGACGGCGTGCGACGGTGTGGCGGGCGCGGCGGCGTGGGGGAGGAGGAGGTCCGGGGCGGCGCGGAGGAGGAGGTGGTGTGGGAGGAAGGCGTTGCCAGCGCGCGAGGCCTCCTACCGGCTGCCTCGATTGCTCCGGGGGCGATGGCCGACGGGATGGGGAGGGAGGCCGCGGCTGCCGTAGTGGCGGTGGAGCTGGAGGATTCGACCGAGCGGAAGGTGAGGGAAGGAGACGGGCGGTCACCGTATCGTTTCACCGAGGCCACGGAGTGCTGAAAGGAGCTGGGTTGTGAAAAAACGAAGGGGGTTTCATTTTCCTGGGGCCTGGCCCAACCTGCTTTAAGGTCCGTGCGGCGCAGGCTCCGAGGCTGGGCCAGGTGCGCCAAACAGGGAAGTTGCAGCACACGGCGTGCAGTCGGGCCGTCGGGCCACCCTCCCAAACAGGCCCCACATGGCTTGCGTGTAATCCCTTGGCATCGCTTGCTATTTAACAGAAATTATTACATAAATTCAGCCTAAAAGATACTCATGAGTAAATGAATTGACCTTTTTATTTTTCTGGGGGGTACTCTTTGAAGCATTATTAACTTTATAAGTAACCCCCGGCCCACATATCAAAGTTTCAGGTCCCACCACTAACAAAGATATCGTGACATGACGCCCAATGTGTGCAACAACGACAGCATTGGCACGTATGGGCGAGTGGTGACACTCTTTTTGTGTGCACCAATGTTTCGGCCAAAAGATAAGAGGAGCTGATACTTGATAGAGTGACTCTCGCACGTGCTGTGAGACTAATGCACGCGGTGCAGTCGTGCAGACCCCACAGAAACGTAGAGGCAAACGCGCACGCACATGCAGCCGCGCGGACACCGGATCAAGATGAAGAACAGAGCCCCCACCCCACCACCACGCGGTTGTGATGTAACAGCGATCAGGCGTCCGTCCCCGGCGCCTAGCGATGACACGGACGTGGCCATGTGGGACGGGATCGCGCGCGCGCAGCCCCGCCGCCGCAGGTGCCCCGTGCCGCGTCTGTGTCTCTCTGCTGGCTGCTGCTGCGCACGCCGAAGGCGGGGCGAGGCCGCGAGGAGCCGAGTCATGGGCAGGGCAGCGCGCTGGTCCGAGTCCGTCCGGCCTCACGTGCCGCCACTGAAGCTTCCCCACGAGGGCGGGCCCTGCCGTCATGCGCCGTAGCATAGCACCCATCCTGAATTCCTGACCGGGGACCGCGCGCGCGTGTTGACTTCAACTCTTCAAGGACGCACGGCTAGGCTACTCCCGGTCCCGACTCCCGAAATCGGAATGGGCGTGGCCGCATAGGGACGGGACGGGAGATCTGGCTCCCGGTCCGGGTCAAGGGGGCCCTCGTGTACCGGACCCATCGGCCTGTGCTGATTGCTGGTCCTGTGGGGAGCAGGTGCGCTGTCCTGTTGTGCTGGGTCTTCTATGTTCTCACCGGCTCGCCGTTGTGGCTGCCGGCCGGGCGATCGATCTGGAGGGTGAACTGTGAATGCACCTAAACTAGAGGGCGTTGACTGTGCATTTGTGGTGCTGGGTCTTCTCTGTTCTCACCGGTCAATTGCAAGTGTGGTTAGTCTACTCGATCTAGTGGGCTGACCTTCACAGACGGAAGTGTTTTCAAAAGACAAGTCACTGAAAGAGGGGGTTCGCTCTTCGCTGCCTTCATTCTTTCCACATTAACATCCAATTCGTTCATTCCTGCTGCGTTTTCAAAGTCATTGCGGCTCCACAGCATGTTTGTAAGTTGGTATAAAAGCAAAATCTAAGTTGAAGTCTGTAAATTAATAAGTTTGTACTAAATGATGAGCATCTTTCTGGTAGGAGTGCGCCGGAACTTTAAACCATCCCATCCATACCTGAATGAACTGACGAAGAATCAACACATCTTTCTGGTGGGTCTGATTCGCTCTACCTGCCTGGGTTGCTGGACTCGGTTCCGCATAGAGCAACAGGGCTCGCCTGCCTTGTCAGGTGGTTCACTGTTCGTATCGGGCCGCTAGGGGGCCGAGGCACTAGGCCAGCAGCACACGAGGGCCCGAGTGGGGTTTTCTGGCTAGTTGAGCGGGCCGAAATTGTTCAATGGGCTGAGCTAGTGTGCTGTCAGGACACGTTGTTCCTCGGGGGACAAAATGCGCTCTTCGAGTGACACGTTGACACGGTCTTTGTAAGCAAACGATCTATTCCGAGACGAATCATCTGGATCACTCGCTTCATCAGTTTATATACTGATTGTAAAGTGACATATAATCAGATCAGTCCTGGTCCTGGACAATGACATGCGTGGCTACGGCCAGCTTGATTGCTCGGAGGACTCTGTCGAAGTTGTGCGTGACAACTGACAAACCAGGGCTGTGGCTGCCTACAAGAAAGTCCACTGGAAATCTAGGACGTTCCTTCTCCTAGCCGTCGCAAGCCTGCACTGATTGAAGGGAAAACAGTAATCAATTTCATTTCATTAAACTATGTGCAGGTTTTCATAATGACAGGATGCGCGTAGGTACATGCTTAGTCTTGTGTTTCCAAAACAAAAAGTCAAAGCAGAGGCAAATCAAATTACCGGCGCAAGCTTTGGACCTGGCGACGTGGTCGAAGCAAAAGACCGGTCCATTTTAAACGTGTTTCAGCCGTGTTTCTCTCCGCGGTCGACGCGCGAGAAAATTCCCCGGACACGTCACATCAACCGTCCGGCCGTCCAACCCACAGTCGCTCAGCCTCTGGTGGCCGTCCGATCATCCCGCGGTTCCCGGTCCAGCGCCAGCACCTTCTCGGAACGGTCTGGAGCTAATACTCTTGCCCCCCTACTGTTTCCTCTTGTCCGAAACGGATCCAGACTCGAACGAGAGGAGGACTTGTATATAAAAATAGGATTTTTTGTGTGGCCGCCCGCGGAAAGTTAAAGAAGGGAAGCTACCGGGCCCTATTTCATTCACCTTGTCTCATTAGGCTAGGCTAGGGGGTAGAGGAGGAGGAAGCAAACGTCGGAGCACTTGCACGCGTTCTTCGCCTCTCACCCCACGGGACGGGAGGCGAGGGCGCGGCGAGCCAGCCGGCGGGCGCAATCGGACTTGGGGAGGCAAAGGAAATCCCGGAGAGCAGTTCCTTTTCGCCTCCCCATTTTCCTCCCGATTTGGGTTCGGTCTGCGTCGATTAGTCCGGCGCCCGAATCCGCAACAATCCCGTTCGCCGAGGGATCGAGCAAGCCAGGCGTGGATCGTAGGCGGTAGTCCGTTCCTGCCCCTTCTCCTCCTTCGCCTGCTCTTGCCGCGGTCTCCCCTCCGGCCGATTTGGAGCCGACAGGTTGGTTTGGTGATCTCTCGAGCTTTTCCTTCGGTGCTGTTCGATTTGTGATCGGGGAGGTGTGAATGCGGGTGGTTTTAGTGGCGTGTCGTTGATCTGCGGTGAGGAAATCGCATGCTTTAAGGCAGGATTGATGGTCATCAGAGCCATCTTTGTCGGTCGTTGGAATCTTGAGGTGGCAGGGTGGTTGGTCGCAGATGAAACATATTTGCTTGGCTGGCATAATTGTCGGCTTGAAGTGTACTCCCTCCGTCCCAAAAATATTGCAATCCTAGAGTTTGAAAAATGTCCCACAAAAAATGCAATCCTAGCAACTGCAGCTGCAGATCAGATGTCAGGCTGTCACGCAGGCAGGTACTCAGTAATTCAGATTGAATTGTCATTATGTTCGTAAAAAAATGTATACATACTTGATAACATGCAAACACACATTTTGGGCCTGTTCGCTGGTTGGTGCTGGTGCTGGTGCTGGTTTGGGCTGGCTGGTGCTGGTTTTTTGTGAGAGGAAAACACTGTTGGCTGACTGGTTTGGGCTGGCTGAAACCAACAAGCGAACAGGCTGTTTGTTTAGGTGATAGGTTCGTGTGATTAGTTTCTAACAAAAGGGATTTTTTTTAAAAAAAAATTCTGGCTTTAATTGTTAAGGCCTGTTTAGATAGAGAGACTATGTTGCAAATCAACCATGCCAGAATTCAAGTTGGTGTCCTTCAAATCTTTTTATTATATATATAGCCTATTAATCGTTGACTGGTCTGAAAAGTAGCAAGAGCTAGGTTGAATTGTAATTCGTTTTTACAGCTTTATGTCCAGCAACTTGTGTGCAATATTTTGTTTGACCTGATGTGCGACATTTCCTTGTACCTTCTTACTGTAAAAACTTGTTTATCTGATTCAGCTTACTTTGTTCCAATTGGCAGATCATTCAATATCCTTGTCATACATTCCCAACCTTGATATAAAGACCTCCTACATTCAGAAACCTGTATTTTTGAAGGATATTTCACAATGAAGCCCAATCAGTTGATTCTATCCACTCTTGATATAGACAGGGGATACCCATACAAGTTCCAACCAGAGTTTCCAACGTCTCATGATCTTGGATTGAATTTGTTTTCACAAGCCGGTACAGTGCTGGGTACTTCTTTAAGATATCATAGGAAGATTTGTTCTTCTGGAAATGTAATGGTCCATGGAGCTTTCAATCGCCTCAACAAGCTTTCCCGAGCTCTCTATTTCTGGTTTTCTAGACCATCTGATCCTAAGATTTTGCGCTGGCTGGCAGCTGTAGCAGCGAAGAGTTCTAGATCTTGTCAGTTGCGTTTCAACCAAGTGGGCTCCCACATGCAAAACTTGACTAGACTGCAGTTCAGCTTTCTAGTGACACAAGAGCAAGCAATACAACTAATTTTAGCTAGGCTTGCAAGTGGAACGATTGGGCGACTATTGAATGAGCAGCAACATGCCTCCAATCTTCTTACTCTAGCTGGCGTTGCTGCTATCGTACCACCACTTGAAAATATGTGAGGACCATGCTCCAATACAGTTTATTTGTATTTGTGATGCACTCTCCTTATTCGTTTCTTTCTGTTGTATAGTTGTCTCTAGTTAACTGATGATTTCCTTTTTTGAATGAACAAGATCACCAATGATGCTTACCGAGTCAATCGCATCGCGAAACATTGACAGTGATATCAGAAGACTTGTTGATCAGCCTTATGTAGAAGGAAAAGGCTTAAGTTGTGCTTGTCCTTCTGTGCCTAGTACTATATTTCAAGAAGATCCAATTGAACCAAAAACTGGAATCAAATTCCCAGCATTTCTGGAAGATGACTCCAGTCCATCTGCAGCGGTATTTTCCTTTTCCTTAAAACCATAGTTTCTCTTATTCCGGAGGAATTGATTTTATTTCTTATGTATATAGAATTTTCCATTTTAAATCATTTTCATTGTTATGCAAGGTAGTGGTGTATAACAATCAATAGATAAATTGAACCAGCTGGGGTACATGTTCGTGATTTTTTTTCTATTGAAACTTGCTTTTACAATTTAGAACTTATTAATCTACATAATTGTATATACTATATACTTTTATGCATCCATTATCTGCGCTTAATGTTTTCAAGTCGTCTAGTCGACTCGTCGCCATGGGACCGACTTTCAGACGATTAGTCGTCGATGAGACGACCAACCGAAGTCGAGTCTCTGGTCTCTGCAGGCAAGGCACACCTACCATCATTGGAGGAAGAGCTCATCTTCGTGAGCTAGGGGGAGCAGAGGCGCAAAGCAGGGAAGAGCTTCACCAAGAGGCGTCTTTGTTGGGGAAGAGAAGAGAGAGAAGAGAGAAAGAGCAGAGCGGCAGCACTGTCACACGCATGCCTGGAGAGGAGAAGAGAGAAAGACCAGAGCAGCAGCAGCCATCACGCACCGGAGAGAATGAGAGATGGGAACCCTAGAGACTTGGCCTCGTGTATATATATTATAGACCCTAGTGGGTCAAATTGGCAGTCCAACTACTCACCTGGAAGCCCAGTCAGGCAAGCCCAAAGAAGGCAGTGCCCAGCCTGGTCGTGCAGCCCCCTGGTCGGACGACCAGGTTTCTAGTCGAGCTAATCGAGTCGAAGTCTCTAATCGAGGTCATGGTACCGACCAGACCGACTAATCACGATTAATCGTGATTAATCGGACGACTTGAAAACATTGATCTGCGCAATGCAATTTTTTTATGGTTTTGAAACATTGACTTAAATCTTTCAGTTTTGGTATATTACTTTTCAGTTTTCGTATCGTTCTGTAAAATTTTTCGTTTTGATCCCTCCTTGTGACAGTTTCTATTGATAATTAAACCTTCAGGTCCTTGTTGGGATAGGTTTCAAAGGCATGAGAGTAATGAGGGTCAAAAATCTGAACCTGTACGCTTTTGGTTTATGTGAGTTACAGAATTTTTTCAATTGGTTCTGTTCTGTGTCAGTTTGCCAGTGAATACTGCTTATTTGACAAGCCTCTGTTTGTTACTGATGAAATTTTCTCATAGATATGCAACCGACTTCTATCCGGGAAAAGCTGGGTTCTAAGTATGGTTCATTTCCAACGGACAAGCTGATGGAGAACCCTGATTTCTATAGCGATCTTCTCAGGTATATCGATACATCATTTTCATGATAATTCTGAACTTGTTGCTTACCGTAAGGTCCTGTTTGTAAAGGAGGTTTTGGGATCTGTTTCTTAGGATTTAGTTGTAAATCCTAACATTTCTAGAGCAAATCTCATCTCCCATTCAGGCCCTACGTGAGTTTGGCGACCATACATTTTAGGAAGTGCATAGGCCTAGCACTGACTAATGTGGCTGCACAAAATTTAGCTCCCTTGTTAAGTAATGTAAGACCAAAGGTGCATATGGAACATCCACTGAGCTGGATATGTTATTGTGCTAGGTGGTTGCTGGGAGCAATACTTGCTATCAGTTGATGTATTATCATTAAATAAATTTCTGCTTACATCTGCATTTGTATTAGTGTCATCCATTTCAGAATGTATGTGACACACAGGTGCTCATGCAAAGTTTACAGCCTCATTTGCATATATACAATGACTTATTAATCCTCAGAGTACAGATTTTTGTTTAGGGCAAGCAGATATTGTAGCATTCTGAATGTTTACATCGAATCTGTTGTTCTGGAGTATGACAATAGTTCTCCTTGTTCATTCTGTTATCTTCTGATGCTCATAAACTTGTATTATTATTTTCCAGGAAAACCTTGATATGAGGGTTAGGTTGGTGGTTAACTACAATGGCCTTTAGCGTTGGTGCAGTGCGAGAGTAAGAAAAATAAAACTGTCATGATTCTTCTCTCACCGTGAAATTATGTTGTCTTTTGAAGACAAAACTCACACTCATTTTATTTTTCTTGCAGCGTGTTTGAGAAGTCCCTTGGCCTGCGTCTGCAGAAGGTACTTTGTGGCTCAGGCGCTCAGCTGCTACTGCAATTCTTTTCTAGTTATTATGTCTAGTGTAGAACTGACTTACAGACCTTCTGCATTTCCATTCAACCAGATAAATCCTAACACTGACTTTCACTGCTTGAAGACCTTTGGTTCTCACTTCACGGAAGATATCGCCATACCTTCGGTAAGGTCTAATCCATCATTTGAGGTTCTATAAGTTTAAACATGATCGCTTGACTAGTTAACTACACCCTCTGTTCCTTGCAGTAGCAATGAACTTACCTTGACCAACCTAGGAGAAACTAGGTGGCATTGTAAATAAGAAGAAATAGGCTCCCAAATTTTGAGTCCAAGTGGACTCAAACCTGGCTAGTGATGTACAACCACACCTACCATCAATTGAGATAGGCTTGGTTCCTACAATTAGTATGATCTTTTTTATAAACAAAGACCAGAGAAAATCTGTATGAACAATATTGCAACCAACTAGAACTACCTAAATAATTACTATGGTGGGGCGCCTTTGGTGTCCCAGCATAGCAGGTTCCAAGTCCTGGTAAAGGAGGAGGGTTGTGTTAGGCGCGGCGAGCCAATGTAAAAACTTAGCCACTTTAATGGAGATGAAACCCCAAAGAATCCCGTTGGGGCGTAACCCTCTTAGCGACGTGCCATGTCAGAACCCGGGTATGGTATTAAATGAGCAAGGGTCGGGTCGTCACCCCCGCGACGCGCCGTGTCGCGATCTGGACACGGTGTCAAGTGAGCAAGGATCGGGTCGTCGCATCCTTAGTGGCGCGCCACATCGGCGCCCGGGTGTGGTGCAAAATGAGCAAGGGTCTTCACATCTACCTCGGCGGGTGCGAAGGGTAAGGAAGCTAGTCGAACCAACTAGGATCCGTTTAGGTAGCTGGAATGTAGGGTCCCTTACATGTAAGTTAAGAGAGTTAGTGGACACAACTGTTAGGAGGCGTGTAAATATCTTATGCGTCCAAGAGACTAAATGGAAGGGGCAGTAGGCGAAGGAGGTGGACAATACCGGCTTCAAGCTCTGGTACACAGGGACAACTTCAAATAAAAATAGAGTAGGAGTTTTGATTGATAAGAGCCTCAAGGATGGTGTGGTGGAGGTGAGAAGACAAGGGGATAGGATCATCTTAGTTAAACTTGTTATTAGTGATATGGTCTTAAACGTAATTAGTGCGTATGCCCCCAAGTAGGCCATGATGAGAGAGTGCTAAGCGGCTTTTCGGGGAAGACTTAGATCGCTTGGTTAGAGCTGTCTCTAGTAGCGAGAAGCTCTTTATAGGAGGTGATCTTAATGACATTTTAGGTACATCAAGTGCAGGTTTCGAGGCGGTTCATGGGGGTTTCGGATATGGTAGTAGGAACCAGTAGGGAGAGGAAGTCTTAGACTTTGCCATAGCTTTTGATCTGATGATAGCTAACAATTTCTTTCGTAAGAGACAGTCCTATTTAGTGACCTTTAGTAGCGGCCAGTACTCTAGTCAAATCGACTTTGTCCTTACAAGGAGGAATAAACGAACATGCATGAACTATAAGGTGATACCTGGAGAATGTGTGATCGCTCAACACAAGCTGGTGGTGGCTGACTTCTGCTTTCTGGTGCAAGCTCGTGGGAACAAACAAGCTAGGGTTGCTAGAACAAAGTGGTGGAAATTAGAAGGGGAGGGCATCAAAGGTCTCTAAAGAAAAAGTCATTGAAGAGGGCCCTTGGAATGATGAAGGCGACGCAAACAGCATGTGGGAGAAAATGGCAACATGCGTTCGGAAGGTTGCTTCAGAGGTGCTTGGAGTGATCAAAGGGAGCGGATGCGACTCGAAAGACACTTGGTGGTGGAATAAATATGTGCAAAAGGCTATTAAGAAAAAGAAGTGCTATAAGCGCTTGTATCATGACAGGTGTGCAAACAACATAGAGAAGTACAAGGTGGCAAAGAAGACTGCAAAACGAGCGGTGAGTGAGGCAAAGGGCGGGCCTATGAGGACCTTTACCGACGTTTGAGTACGAAGGAAGGAGAGAAGGACATTTATAGGATGGCTAGGGCTCGCGATAGGAAGACAGGGGACTTCAACCAAGTCAAGTGCATAAAGGATGAGAGGGGGTAACTCTTGGTGAAGAGGATGAGATCAGACATAGATGACAAGAGTATTTTGATAAATTGTTCAATGGTGAGAACGAGAACACCACCGTTCAACTGGACGACTCGTTTGATGACACTAACTAGCGCTTTGTGCGGATGATTCGAGAATCGGAGGTCAGAGAAGCCTTAAAAAGGATGAAAGGGGACAAAGCGATGGGCCCTGATGGTATCCCAATCAAGATGTGGAGACGTCTCGGGGATATAGCTATAGTATGGATAACCAAGATGTTCAACAATATCTTTCGATCGAACAAGATGCCTGAGGAGTGGAGAAAAAACATATTGGTACCAATCTACAAGAACAAGGGAGATATTCAAAGTTGTACTGATTATCGGGGAATTAAGTTGATGAGCCACACTATGAAGTTATGGGAGAGAGTCATCGATCAGCGCCTGCGAGGAACGACGTAGATATCAACAAACCAATTTGGTTTCATGCCCGGAAGATCAACCATAGAAGCAATCTTCTTAATAAGACAAGTTATGGAGCGGTTTAGAGAGTAGAAGAAGGACCTCCACTTGGATTTTTATTGACTTGGAGAAGGCTTATTGCAAGATACCAAGAAATGTTATGTGGTGGTCTTTGGCCAACATAAAGGCCCATCAAAGTACGTGACCCTCATCAAGGACATGTACAACAATGTTGTGACTAGCGTTCGAACAAACGATGGTAACACAGATTAATTCCCGATTAAAATTGGACTTCATTAAGAGTCAGTCTTAAGCCCATATTTCTTTGCCTTAGTAATGGATGAGGTTACTAGGAACATACAAGGGGATATCCCTTAGTGTATGTTATTCGTTGATGATGTAGTGTTAGTGGACGAAAGCCAGATAGGAGTAAATAGGAAACTAGAGTTATGGCGGCGGACCCTTAAGTCTAAAGATTTTAGATTGAGCAGAACTAAAACCGAATACATGAGATGCGAGTTTGGAAGGTCAAGTAGTGCCTAAGAAGGATATCTTTCGGTATCTGGTATCGATGCTACATAGAGATGGAGATATTGATGCAGACGTTAGCCATAAAATCAATGCATGGTGGATCAAGTGGCGACAAGCTTCTGGCATTCTCTGTGACAAGAGGGTATCACAAAAGCTAAAAGGCAAGTTCTATAGAACAGCGATTAGACCGGCTATGTTGTATGGAGCAGAATGTTAGCCTACAAAGATTCGACATGTTCAACAACTGAGTGTTGCAGAAATGCGTATGTTGCGATGGATTTGCGGTCACATAAAAATGGACCGAGTTCGGAACGATGATATACGTGATCGTCTAGAGGTAGCACCAATTGAAGAAAAGCTTATCCAACATCGGTTGAGGTGGTTTGGCCATGTCCAAAGAAGACCTCCAGAGACACCAATAATATGAGGAGAGGTAGAGCAAGACCGAAATTGACATGGGGGAGACAATAAAAAGAGATTTGAATGCTTGGGATATACCTAGAGATCTATGTTTGAACAGGAGTTTTTGGAAAGCAGCTATTGAAGTATCTAAACCGTGACTTGGGGCTCTTGATGGGTTTCAACTCTAGTCTACCTCAATTTGCTTAGAACTGAAAGGCTATGTTGTTGTCGTTGTTGTTGCCCAATAAATCTCTAGTAGGTTGATAATACAGAAAAAAATCCCTTGGTTCATTTTGCCAAATTCTGGATTTGAGTATAGTGGCGAAATGTTATGATGTTACCCTGTCTATAGCCATTCTTTGTACTCAGCTTTATTATAAGGATAACATGTAAATATAACTGCAGGGTACGAAGATTGACTTCTGTCAAACAGCAGATGGGAAACTAATAACAGAAAGTAAGTACATTATACCCACAAAAATCTTTTGAGCTGTTCTCCACTGCAATATTGGATCCATCTTGACAAGAGCATTTTTACGCAGTTGATGGGAAACAAATTGGTGCTGTTCAGAGCAAAGATCTTTGCAGTAAGTAAAAACTTGCCAAGTACTCCCTCTATTTCAAATTATAGTTCACTTTAGCTTTGTCCTAAGTCAAACTTCTTGAATTTCACCAAGTTTTAGAAAAATATGTTAACATCTGCAAGTACAAATAAATGCACTATCAAAACATATTTTATGGAGGATTTAATGAAATTAATTTGATGTTGGTGCAGTTTTCTATAAACTCGGCCAAAGTTAAAGGAACGTGACTTTGGAAAAAAAAACTAAAGTGACCTATAATTTAGATTTGAGGGAGTAAATATTTCCGGAAAATGATATTTACTTTGCACAATATGTATCCTTGCTTTCCTTGTACTCCCATTCCCTGAACATATGGAAGTGCTGAAAGAAAATACAAAATCTACAGATAAGCTTAGTTTGGACAATGTTTAGTTGTTTACTTGTGCCTCTTTTGCATTTGATAAACGATGGAGTGCATCATGCAATTAGCCTAGAGCAGCTTTACAATATGGTACAGTTCCTTTGTTTGTAACTGTTTCTTGTCTGATGAACAGAGGCTTTCTTCGACATGTATATTGGTGACTCACCTGTTTCGCTGGAGGCCAAAAAAGTTGTTGCCCAGAACGTGGCTGGACTCATTGGAAGACGCTGAGGAAAGCGAAAGATGATTATTTCATTCTTCTGTACAGTTAGAGAGGATTCATATGAGCGGGAAAATAGGCGAGAATCATTGCAAGTATATAGAGTGATCTGTGTCTTGTAAAGAAAGCAGGCAAAAGCTCCAATGTATATGTGGAAGATAGCATCTTCAGTTGTGCTAGGCCCCCATTCTATTTTTTCTTTGTTTGGATGGGCCTTTTGCCTCTTCGTAGCTGCTGTATCATGTAAATGCTCCCATTGAGCCAGGAGTTGTAAAATATTAAATTGAAGATGCTTCTTCCATAAAATGATGCATACCTTTAAATCTTTGTTGCACATTGGGATGTTCGTGGTTCTGGCGTTTCAATGTGCCTGGATCTATATTTTGGTTCTCTCGATTCTCCACACATAAAACAGAGATAAGCACTATTACTGTAAGCGCTACACTGTATAAATAAATAAAATATTAGATAGTTTGTAAAAAGATACTGCTATGGAGTATTAGAGTATGTTATCATCAAACACGCTACAAAATTTAATTCAAACAATGGTCACATCGAGGAAAATGGAAATAACAAATTTCTGACTAAGGCCTTGTTTAGTTCCTCCTCAAACCCAAAATATTCTGGATTTTGGCCCAGCATTCTGGGAAATGGATCTAAACACCACCCTGGATTTTTTTTGGAAAAGATACCCATTCTGAATTCTGGATTCTGGAGTCTAGAGGTCAAAATAAGCCCAAATTGGCCCATCTCGCCCATTGCCCCCTCGCCCACTGCCCTCTGCCCGAACCTTTCTCCCCGACTCGGCACGGGAGCCGCCGCTGGGCACGGGAGCCACCGCCGCCACTCTTTCTCCCCGAGTGCACGGGAGCTGCCGCCGCCGCTCGCCCACGCTCGGCCACTTCCGGAGCCCGAACCCTACCCCCACACTCGGCCGCCGCTGCTCGCCCCTACTCGTCCAGAGCCCGAACCCTACCCTACCGCCGCCGCAGCAACACAGGAGCCACCACCACCACCTCTTTCTACCCGCAGCACAGGAGCCGCAGCACCTGAAGCGTCATACTCTCAACCACGAACTACTCCGGCACCGTCAAGGGAAGATGCAGAAGTGATGAATGCGTTTCGTGAATCGATCGCTGTTGGACTGTATAATCGTTCTTTGTAATCGCTCGCTGTTGGCACTTTGAACTTGGTCTGTTAGCTGTGTTTGTGAGCTGTGAACTGTGTAAAACATGTGTAAAACATGTGAACTGGTTTGTGTAAAACTGTGAACTTTGAACTGTGAATTAGTTTATGAACAATTTAGTACATGTGAAATGTGAACTGTGTTTGTGAAATGCCCTTTGTGAACTGTTAAGCTGTGGTCGAATTTTATCAAAATTGTTTGATTTGTGGCATGGAAGAAGGCAACCTCGACATTGTGAACTGTAGCTTGGTGAGCTGTTGATTGTTGACTTGCATGGAAGAAGCAGCATGCATGCTTGCATGGAAGAAGCAGCATGCAAGCCACTGTGAAGCAGCAGCAGCAACGTCTATGGTTAGAAGCACCAACATGCATGGTGCATGGGGATAAGGGTAAATCTGTAATATTTGTATTCTGAATTCTGAATTTTGGATTGAACTAAACATGTGTATGAGATTTTTTAATTCTAAAAATTGGATTACCAGAAAACTAGAATTCTGGATTATGGATTCCCACCGGAACTAAACAGGCACTTAGCTATTCTCGATGCTCCCACGATCTAGAGCCCCGAATTATCGTTCTTGCATCCATTATCTAGAAAAAATATCCGAGTATGTTCTTTTTGTTCTCCTGTATAAAAAAATCGCTGTATGAGCTGAAGTGCGAATTGCGTAGGCTGCGTTGTCGCCGCCTCGCAGTCGCAGCCTCTCGCGCCTCTCTATCCACACACAGGGGACACAGGACCGCCGCTGCTCCATCCACCTCTCCAGTCTCCACCCCATCTGACGCTGCTTCCACCGACCGAGCTCTTCGAGGGCCTGTTCGCTGGTTGGTGTTGGTGCTGATTTGGGCTGGTTGGTGCTGGTTTTTTTAGAGAAAAATACTGTTGGCTGGTTGATTTAGGCTGGCTGAAACCAACAAACGAACAGGCTGAAGGCTCCACTCCTCACCATCACCAGTTTCTGCTCCCTCCCCCATCCATCTCTCTGCTCTGGACCGTTCACTCTCCAGCTCCCCTCGCTCCGTTCCCTTCCGCCCAACCACCGCCTACTCCAGATCGGCGGGCGGGCACCGGCCGATGATGACATCCACCGTCACCACCACCGTTGGGTGCGGGGGGCTCCCCGTCCGCCCGTCGTCGTCGACGGCGCCCAGAGGACGCCCCCGCAGATGCGCCGTCCGAGCTCAAGGTACGTTCGCGCCGGTCCCCCAGATTCGTGGAGGATTCCAATTTCTGCCCTCCCCTCACTGCAATCGGGATGAACTGACTGATATGATATCTGTTGTGGGCAGCCGCAGGAGCGGATGCCTCCAACGATAAGTCCGATAAGTCGGTGGAGGTCATGCGCAAGTTCTCCGAGCAGTACGCCCGCCGCTCCAACACTTTCTTCTGCGCCGACAAGACAGTCACTGCCGTCGTCATCAAGGTCAGTGCCGTCCGATAGTCTTCAACTCCGTCCTCGTAGACATCCACCGATTAAGACCGACCTTTAGGTGTTTTGGTATTCCAGTACAAGGTTTTATGGGATACACCGAGCTTTAGGTGTATTGGCATCCCAACACAAGGTTTTTGGTATATAAGTTAGGGGTGGATAGAAAGCAAAGGCCGGGAATAGCAATCTAGACCGGAAAGTAGCGGATTGGGGAACATAGATGTCATAAGGCTTAGGAATTAACAAAATGTTAAGAGAGATTGGGGATTACATCTAGGCTAAGCCATGAATAGCGCTATGGTCTTGCACTGGGGATTGGGGAAGAACAGAAGCTACTTCATGCTAACAATAAGGCTTAAAGAAAGAAACAGTAATATGGATTAGAGAGAACTAATTCTCCCAGCCTTCCTTCTAGATGCTCCTTGGTAATGGTAATCCTCCCAGGGGCCTACAGCTCCCGATTTATAACCTGAGAGGTAACTGTACAGAGGAGAGTCTAGACATTACTTAGATGCTAGCTGTCGAACTTCAGCTGTTGTTTGGCACAGCCAGCTTATGTGCATTAGGTGGTTGCAATATGGCTCAGCTTATTCATCCAAATTCCTAGTAAATATTTGTTAACAAAAGAGAAATATAATTTAAAAATGATGGTTTATTTTATAGCAACAAATAAGATTGCTCTAAAACAGTTGTGTTTAAGGGCACCACCAGGTTGAGGACGGTGGCAATGCTGAACATTTTTTTTTCCTCTCTTGATCATCCTGTGGGCAGTGCATCCATGACTTGGGAGGATCTATTTAGAAGTTTAGGGTTAAGGATATCAGCTTCAGTGCCATTTTAGGAATTGAGGGAACAACTGCATTACCATTATAAATCAGGAAGCTTATATCAAAGCACATGGTGACATGGGTATGTTAAATGCATGTGCTCTACTCTGGTTTTCTCAGAGCAACCATCACCTTTTCTTGATGGTAGGTATATATAGGAATTCTGTAATTCCTTCTTGATGATAAAGCACAAATGAGAATACTTCTTGTGTCTCCATCTTTGTGAGTATGACCTATAACATGTTTGCAGGGACTTGCTGATCACAGAGATACTCTCGGAGCTCCTCTATGCCCTTGTAGGTAATTTATCTTATGTATTTTTCCCCTCAATTGGTCATCCATTTTTTATACAGGGTATCAACTATTTTTCTTTCTGAAACTTCTTGTAAATCTGACCAGGCATTATGATGACAAAGCTGCGGAGGTAGCACAAGGATTTTGGAACTGCCCATGCGTCCCCATGCGTGAGAGGTGTGTTTATGAACTACACTTCCAGCTATTTTTCTATGATAGTGCATAGAGAAAATATTGTGGCAGCACTATTTTTTGTTCAAAGTTATAGATATAGTACTGTGCCTGTACTGTTGCAAAACAGGCTGAGGTTCTTTTTCACTTGGCGTACCATATGAATAATTGGCCAACTAGCTATCTCTGTTCCAATCCCACAGCATAAGCATTGATTATGAAGGCATATTCCTTGCAAAACTGCAAACTCCAGCCTGTCCTACCATGTATCCATTTTTTTAATAAAAATAATCTGCTAGATAATAATGAATTTCTAGCTCTCTTCCCCTGAAAGGAAAATCATTTCTTATGTGAGCGGTCTACTTCTGCAGGAAGGAATGCCACTGTATGCTTTTTCTTACTCCCGATAATGATTTTGCTGGGAAGGACCAGGCATGTCCCTTTTCCATACTATCAATGCTTTCCTGTCATCTGATATCTGCATCCATGATATGTTCGATGCAAATCCCTCGAGATTAATGATTTTTGTTGTATACTTGTGGCAGGTTATCTCCTTGGAGGAGATCAAAGAGGCGACATCGAAGTTCTAACCCCTTGTATTTTTCACGAAATGTTTACTTGACAGCTAGTTCTTTTATATGTATATGTACTTAAGTAGCATCTATACCTATAAGATATGCCATCAGGAAAATTTTCATAAAATGTGCAGTAAACAGCACTTCGCGAGGCTGTCGATCATATGAGCCGCTTTTAGCCTTTTATTGTACCTGGGCTCCATTTCGTGAATTAAACACTACGGAATTCGCCGTTCTTAACTGCTATTCCTGTGTTACTTGATTCTCTCTCTCCTCTGCTATTCCTGTGTTACTTGATTCTCTCTCTCCCAGATAAGAAACTATAAGAAACTTTTTTTTTTTGGAAATGGAAACTATAAGAAACTTGATTCTCTTTGTGCTGTACAAAAAACCCCAAATTAGAATAGTTGAAGCAAATATGGTAAAAGGTGGAGCTATGTGCAAGATGGGCTGCTGCCCTGCCCACCGCGTGGGCTGCAACAGGTGCGACCTCCTCGCAATCATAGCAGCCATTGGAAAGCCATGTCA